TGAAAACAGGTCATCATTGCTGACCCCTCAGGCTCCTGAATGTTGCTGCAGCACAGGGACATTTTGTGACAGTACTGACAGTCCACCCTGCAGTGCCACATGCACCACACCAGCTTTTGCCGTGAAGGGCATTGTGAGAGAATGATTAAGTTTGAAACACAAGGTCATGAGGAAGATTTGGGGATTGAGCGTGTAGGTGGTATAGACAAGAGGTTCTGTTTGTGAACAGCATAGGTCCACTCATGCCTTCAATTCCTTATGTAGCAGGACTGCACGTTCAAAAGGAAGCAGTCACATGTTTCATTTTGTCTACTGTAGCTAAGACTTGACAATCATGTTTCTACTTTACTTGGAAGATAAAGGAGGGGGCATAGTAGGGAAAAAGCGGAATAAAGAAGAGGCATTATATGACCAACTTCTCTAAAATCCCAGTGTCAGCATGTGTGTCACAAAGTCGAACTTAGAAATGATTGTGCCACAGTAGGGAACTTTTATTTATTCATGTAAGTGACATGATTAGAATTCCATTATTTATGTACCTTCCTGTTTGACTTAATGGCAGATGTAAGAGATTTGAGAAAATTCAAAAATCTTCAGCACTTGCCTGAAGTCGGCTATATTTCTGGCGAAATATTACACTACCAGATCTTCATCAGTGAAATAAATTGTAGTTGAGTAACATTCTCTCTTTAATCAGGCTGCATCCTGCGGACACAGGCCTCAATTGATGTCTCCTCTTTTAATTCTAAACCCAGCTATCTTAAAGTATAAAATGTGTTGCTTCTCTCCTTTGCCACTTCATCACAGCCAAGAATAAGCTTAGAGGCATGATGAACAGCAACCGTAAAACCTTCTTCACTCATTTTCTAAAACCATTGATTGTATTTGATATTTGTCATTATGTGCGGCTAGTAAAGGTGGCTTTAATTTTTACACAGAATTTGCCAATTATCCTGTAGGCTTTGTTCCCCCAAGACAGAGTATGTCTTTAAAATTATTAAAATATTATTGGTTACTTTCAGTATTCCATTACAAGTGTTTGATCCTAGGTTCTGTTATCTAACCTCCACACACTGTGGTATTGTGGTCAGATTATCTGACACAGTTTTACAACCTGAAGTCAAACTTGTTTGAATTTGCTTTTGTTATTTTTGGCGATAGACTGTGTGACAATGTCGGCATAAGTGTGAGGTCAGCAAAGCCCACTGTGCCAGTAGTGAAAACTTACATTTATTGTGGCTAGTATACTGGATGTGTTTGCAGTGTGCTTCATCTTTTATATGTATAATAGAAAATATACTCTGTATATGCACATTTATTTTTATTAAAGGATGTCAGCTGTGTATTTTAATGCTGTGAAAGGGCCAGTACAGCAATTAAGCATTGCAATTCTATAAAGTTGGAGAACTAGCGCAGAGTGTGACAGAGATATTTATATGTATTGCTCCTACAATACTTCAACTCTGTAGTTTTCATTTCATCAGTTGAATGTCTCTTGACATATTAGTTGTAGTAGGGTGGAGTATGCATCAACTAAAACAGCACATCTTGACCTTTCTAAAATATCTAGTTGCTTTTGTCATAGTGTGACATTAAATGATGGAATTTCTGGATGCCCCAACTGTTTGGAAAAAACAAGATACAGCATCTATCCATAGAACTTATCCTGGCTGAGACAAGAGCTCAAAAGTTAAAGTAGTGAAATATTCCTTAAAATAACCAAGGATTGATGAGAATAACTACACATTAAAATTCTGTTAACATAGCAGCAATGCATTGCTATCTTAAGTTAACAGTAACTAGCTGTTTTGCTTACACCCCGTTCCAAATTATTGTGCAAACTATATTTTTCTTTGATTTTTATAAATAGTCAATGCAAATGACCGTCAGTATAAATTTCAAGTTTTCAACCGTTAGAGTAAAATTCAAATGTTACTGAACAAACCTCCAAATGATGGTAATATGTTTTTTGTTTTTTTTTTTCCAAAAATGAAAAACTTCAAATGCACTGTTCCAAATTATTACACACACCAGAGTTCCAAAACATTTTATATGTCGTAAAGAACTGAAAATGGTCATTTGTTGAATTTACAACATTAGGAGGTCATATTTACTGAAATCAGAAGCTAATTTAGTCAAAAACATTTAACAGGTCAAGTTACATTTTAACTTAGAAACCCTTATTTGATAGCAGCTTCACAATTCTTGCATCCATTGAACTTGTGAGTTTCTGCTTGAAATTCTTTGCAGGATGTCAGAATAGCCTCCCAGAGCTGCAGTTTGGATGTGAACTGCCTCCCACCCTCATAGATCTTTTGCTTGAGGATGTTCCAAAGGTTCTCAACAGGGTTGAGGTCAGGAGAGGATGGAGACCACACCATGAGTGTCTCTCCGTTTATGTCCATAGCAGCCAATGATGCAGAGGTATTCCTTGCAGCAAGAGATGGTGTATTGTCATGCATGACGATGATTTTGTAACGAAAAGCACGGTTCTTCTTTTTGTACCATGGAAGAGACTGGACAGTCAGAAACTCCCCATACTTTTCAGAGGTTATTTTACCACCTTCAGGAACCCTAAATGGGCCGACCAGCTCCCTCCCTATGATTCTGGCCTAAACATGACTCCGCCACCTCCTTGCTGACGTCGCAGCCTTGTTGGGACATGGTGGCTGTCCACCAACCACCCACTGCTCCATCCATCTGGACCATCCAGGGTTGCACAGCAGTCATCAGTGAACAAGACTGAAAATTAGTCTTCATGTATTTCTGGGCCCACTGCAGCCGTTACTGCTTGTGATCATTGGTTAGGGGTTGCCGAATAGAAGGTTTATGCATAACTGCAAGCCTCTGGAGGATCCTACACCTTGATGTTCGCGGGACTCCAGAGGCACCAGCAGCTTCAAATACCTGTTTGCTGCTTTGTAATGGCATTTTAGCAGCTGCTCTCTTAATCTGATGTATTTGTCTGGCAGAAACCTTCCTCATTGTACCTGTATCTGCATAAACCCGTGTATGCTCTGAATCAGCCACAAATCTCTTAACAGTATGGTGATCATGCTTAGGTTTTCAGGAAATATCTAAGGTTTTCATACCTTGTCAAGGCATTCAACGATTTCACGCTTTTCGGCAGCAGAGAAATCCTTTTTTTTCCCATATTGCTTGAAAATGGTGGTTTGCTTAATAATGTTGAACGTCCTTTAGTAGTTTTTGCTTTAGTTGGCCTTACCGGGCAAACTAATTGTCACAAGTGTCTGAGATTGATTTCAATGATCCAAAGAGCCCTGAGACACAATACCATCAATGAGTTTAACTGAAAAACAAAAAAAATTATTCTTTATGACACTTACATACAATTTGCATAATCATTTGGAATGCGGTGTATATGTGAAAGGTATCATCCAAATTTTCTCACGTACTGTTTGGCAGTAGTAGCCTGTTTGATCCAGCAGTTTTATTTGATCATTTTTAGCTTACTGCACACAAACCTCATTTTGGTTCCTCAAACACAGGGACTAAGATTTGTGCAGCCTTGCTTTTGGTAAAGTCTCAGTCATGCATTAGCTGGTGGAGTGCTATCCTCTTGCGCCTCTTATTTTCCATAATAAAACACAGCTCAGCACATCCTTGTGCTGCATGCAGAAAGAGGAGCCACCCTTGTGTCAGCCTAGGTTAGTCACAACAAAAGCAACAGCAAGGGAGGAATGTCTGTACAGATTTCAATAATCCCTGAATATTCAGTAAGAAATGAAGGAGAGTAGTTTGCACCTCATTGTTTCAGTAATCTCAGCTGCTGCATTCTGGGCAGTTTGCACCATTCAAGCATGAGCAGTCTCCATGGTATTACGGCATGGCACCATTTCCGTCCTATATATCAACGGTGCTGCAATAGTAAACATGATATGCGACTGTTAACCTACTTCAATGCTGCCAGGCGAACTCTAGCAGGAACATTTTCCTCTGTCTTGAATGCTCACAGGAAGAAACACCAGAGACACTGCGACATGTCAATCAGCCCCATTCCACCAGCACCACTCACACAAAGTCTAAGATGCTTGGCATTATTCCAGCGTACTGTGGAACACGCTCAGAGATGATAGCGTACACACATAGACTTGGATGACGTGCACACACACATATCTGCCAGTCTTCATTCCATCACACGGGTAGTCTCAGTTGCGTGGCAGGCCTTTGTTTGGGAGTTGACAGAGAAGGTTGCTTCATAAACCCGGCACGCATCCATCACCATCTCCCTCGCTGCTTTGGGATGAAGGGAAGTGATGATCCAGGGATTTTTTTGCTCCTGCTCCTTCATTAGCTCACTGTATCACCTTGAAAATGTTGTATTCTGCCACAGAGCCTACGAAGATGGCAGTGGGCACTTGGGAACGAGGAAAATGGTCAGGAAGAACTTTGTAGGGTTTAGACGACTCCAAAAAATCCATTAGCTTTCAAGCTTAGTTGTGCTTTAACTAAGAGAGAGGGAGAAAGTGTTGGAAATGGGCTGTGGTAGGCTGTGGGTAAGGATGCGGTATGTCTGGGGAGGGGCTGGGGGGCTTTTGAGAGACTGGAGTGTGCATGAGTACAAGTGTCTGTGTATGTATTATGCAAGCAGGCAAGACACTGAAAGTGGAACATCCCTGTCCTGCCTCAACAGCAATGCAGCATAGCTTAGGGACTGCACATCACTATGTAAATACAAATTGCAGTGTCATGCTATCGATCCTGTAGGCTGCTGAGACTGGATTATGTTGGGGCCAGTCAGCAGCATCTTGACTGTTGGTTTGTCTGTCTGCCCTGTTCTGTGATCTCTCTTTCTGCATGGTACTGTCTGTCTCATCCTTGCTCTCCTCTTTAGGAGTATTTGTCAAGCTGGATTGCTTGGCTCGCTGTTGAAGAGTTTTTATTGGCTTTTATTTGACCTACAAGTTTACAAAATATTTGCAAATCAAACTTTGTGCAACAGACGTAACTAACTCCAATGTCTTTCTCTGTTTCTACAGGATGCAAATTGAATAAAAGAATCTTGAGGGAGTGGAAGGACACGGAAAGGTGGTGTTGGATAAAGTCTTCAACACGGAGCTGGGCAGACGGGAGAGGACACTAATCGGGTGGTCAAAACACGGATTTGTGAGCATGCTCGCCATGCTTTAGCACACAGGAAAGGCTGGTTCATCACTGGAGAAACACCAACTGCCTTTTCTAGAGCACTCCTGAGCCACAAACACACAAATCTCCCTCTCATCTGTCATTTACCATCCCTGCAGAGATGCCAATGCCGAGACTGGTGCTGTGGCATTTGTGGTGACGGGGCACAGTGTGTGTGTGCACATCCGGCAGGTAGGCCGGTGGGTCAGTACACCAAGTGACATTTTCGGGTGGGCGTGGTTGAACCATGCGGCCCTGGGCAGGTTCATGGCGTTGGATTACCCTGGTGCTACTAGCCTGGGGCACACTTCTCTTCTACATTGGTGGTCACTTGGTGAGAGACAGCGAGCATCCAGAGCGGTCCAGCCGGGAGCTCTCCAAGATCCTGGCCAAGCTAGAGCGGCTCAAGCAGCAGAATGAAGACCTGCGGCGCATGGCTGAATCGCTCAGGTAACAACAAATTATATACATATATACCCGTGTGTGTGTGTGTGTGTGTGTGTGTGTATTTATATGATAAATCCAACAGTAAGGACAGCCTCTAGTTCCCTGGTTGTTTGATCATAACGTGGCATACAGTTAAACAAATGCAAAAATAGATATGTTGTGTGTGACAGACGAAGGATGGTCTGTCACACACCTCATCAGATTTTGTTGCGGCATTTTGGAGGACAATAACACATTGTATGAACCCATTAACCACACAGCATCTTTCACACATTCACGCTGCGTAATAGAGAGGCAGATGATTCTGCACTTAACGCCGCATGCTGACAGTGTTTCTCTTCACAAATAAACACAAGGTCTGCACATGGGTTTGTGAGTGTGCATGCATGTGCAGGGAATGCAGTAGGGTGTTCTAGTTTGTGCCATATTGACAGGGAACTTAAGCTTCAGATGTTACCATGGCTGCTCCTCTGTGATATTCTGATTCACTTTGATGCTGGGCCCTCATCAGTGCACACAAACGTAAACACACACACACATACACACATTGCTTCAGACAGCTGGTCCCTGATTAAATCCCCTGCTTTTGTAATTATTCAAAATTGGCTCAAAAACAAAGGTGGAATTCATGGCATAAAAAACAAGTGCAGCTTTCAGTCGACCAGTGTCCAGATGGGTCCCCGACACTGCACGCTTGTTGCTTGTTATTGAGTTTGGTTGTTGATCTGGGACTGAGGCCTCCACAGTTGTTTACTGGGGCAGTGCTACAGTGCCTTCTCAAGTCCCTCTAAGCTTCAGCTAAGGATCTGGCACAGCAAGCCAAAAGCAGGCAACTGGCTGCTGCTGAGGTTAAGCTTTATTAGTTATTCACAGTGGCAGGGGTTGGTTTGTCCTTTGTTCAATTCTGTATTTTGTGTGTGTGTGTCTGTCTGTCTGTCTGTCTGTCTGTGTATGTCTGTGTCTGTGTGCCATTCTGTAGTGTCTTCTATCTTTATATTAGAGCCCTAATAGACACAAAGAGGTTGTTAGTGCACTGCCCATCTTCTTTGCCACAGCGCTGTCCTTTTCTGTTCATCGCCTCTTCCTGTTCACTGTTGTACTCCTCCTTCACCTCCCTCCTCCTCTGCATCATTTCACTACCAAACTGCTGACAGAGGCATGGTACAAAGCCAGACTCCAGCCAGCAGGTTGTCACAGAATGACTGACTGTGTAACAGCTCACTAGCTTATAGATAGACTAGTACCATGCATACCTAACCCAATTCAGAAGGTTGCACGTTGCAGAGATTTGGACTGAGAACGTGAGTCTATGACTGATGTATAAGAAGCAAAACCAGTTTTTTGCATGCACCCAGCTGACATACATAAATAGGGTTTCATCCAAAGTACCTAACCATCACTAGTGAATTCCTTTCTTATGAGTGGCCAAAGATTTTAACCCACAATACTGATACAATTACACATTGTGTTGAGTTCTTACACAGAAGCCAAATGTATCGAAAATGATTTATAGCTCAACGTAGAATTGAACTTGGTTAGTGTCATTACACCGCAGTGGCACTAGGTAGATGTGTTAAGCTTTATGGCCAGTGTGGTCAATATATATCTGAGGGATCTTGTTAACATTGACTAATTTGTTTTATGATAGAGCAGGGTAGTCATGCTGAAACAGTTTGCGGAGGATATTGATGTTCTTGATTCCGAATTAGCATAATCTTTGTACAAATGAAAATACTTTGTTATTCAGTGTGCTCAAAGGTTGTTCACACACACATTTTACATAGTTTTGAAGTGAACTCTCCAATATTTTAAAGAATGTAATTGTCATGTAAAATTTATCAATATATCAGTCAACGCGTTGATTGAAATTAGTATTGCTCGGTTGGCCTACAGATCCAGTCCAGTGATTCAGTTTGGTTTAATTCTGTTATTCAGGCCACTCCTGGGTGATTTGAGTGACAGGCAGCCTGCCAGCCCACCAATCACCCAGCAGCATTAATGAGAGGTGAGAACGGGGTTGAGTTGGTCAGGCTGTCTGGCTCCGCCCTCTGTGCAACTGTCAGGCACCTTGGGCACAGAGCCACAGCTCCTGTAAAGACAATGACACACGCCAGCCTGATGGTGTGACATCGGAGAGAGTGAGGGGTGAGAGTGACAGCTGGACTGAGTGATGAGGACCTGATCGATCCCCCAGGCATGCCAACAGAGTGAGGGAGGGAGGGGACAATGCAGAGGAGGCAAAGAGGATAGGAGCATGATGGATGGCGTGAGGACTGCACTCAGTAAAATGCAGCAAGGAGGAAATAAAAAATGAGGACTAAGGGGATTAAAAGAGTTGCAAAGACCACAGTGATTGCCCCTAACTGTTTTCTGCTATTTCAGCCCAGCTCGGTACCATCAAGATGAGCTGTTTGCCATAGTATGGTACGGCGCTATACTAAAGCACTGTTTACATTGATTCAGTGTTCTGTGAGTTAAATTAGATGCAAAGAGTTAATTGAATACACAGTACCGTCTGACCCAGCTCTAGAGCAGACAGAAAGGAGGGCAAGTTGAGACATATTGTTTTTCCATGTGACACTAGAATTGCCTTTTATTGGTGTAGGCTATTGACTGTTGGACCTCATTCGCTTGACTTCCATGTGTCCTTGTGTGTTTTTCAGTTTGCTTTTTGCCACAGTAACTTGTAAAATTCACAGATGATACTTTTTGCATAGGTTTGCCTTATATGGGTCCCTGTCTTTCAAGACTACTAAAATTGTAAATTGTAAAACCAGATATATGTAGTTTTGGTGTGATGAGGGGACTGTTCACTCACTTTTGATTAGACAGTGGACGGACTCATTTATTCTGTTATAGTTTAAGTCCTCTGCGTCCTACCAAGCAGATGCAACCATAGTTTCAAGACCTGAAGTCCCATGGACCTGGCCATTGCTTAGGCCCATTCAGAGAAGGTCTACTTCGACACACAATAGCCCCGCTGTTTGGAGCAGTCTGTGGTCGGGACATCTCTGTCAAGTAAGGTTCAGAGCAGAGCTGACTCGCTCCAGATGTACTGAGGCGTTGGGAAGATGCAAGGCAAGAATTCACCATACACAATCAATTGACGTGGAATTACACTGTTTGAGTTAGTGGATAAAACCTAAATGCACCAAAGAAAAGAGGGACGCATTCACTGATTTGACTCAAGGCGACATTGTGCAAACACAACAAATCACATACACACTTCAAACAATTCCTAATAATTCACTATCTGTTTTTAAAATGGAGCAGTAATGGCAGGTGTTCATGGTAATATTCAGCCTTCTATAGTATTCTCTATTCTTTCCCCACAGCCACATTCCTTTGGTTTATTACCTTGACTGATTGGAGTCAAGTGGTTGGAGATACTGAGTTGCCAGGAAAGGCTGGAACATGTCGGATCAGTCTTTGATGCGTTACACTCTAGTCATGCGCAGAAGCACATGTATATACATATGCAAGTTCCATCTTTATGTGAGGAATTGTGCACATGTAGCCTCTTTTCACCTACACGCTCCACAATGCTTTACATCTCCACCATATGTGTGGTTTTCAGCTCAAAGGTTTTCATTTGAAGTCAAACACAGTATATTAAATCTAAGGATGGAAATACGTGCCCCCACCGTTCAAACTGCTCCGCCCACCTCAGATCACCCCATGAACTTTATGGTCACCGGGTGAAGGGGCGGAAGCCAATGGAGTGACAACTAGGGCAGCACGTCACAGGAAACTCAGCTGCTCGGGTGTTTCCCACTAGTGAGGCTCATCACCCCCTACTTTCATTGCTTGTCTGTCATTCTGCACTGTCTCCCCCTCACCTTTTTGTTCTACCTTCCTTTCCTCATTTTCTACCCCTCCTGTATTGTTTGATGAAGATGATACTGAATCCGGCTACCTCGTCTCTGCTTCAGATTCCCCAGATAAATCATATGGGATCCTTTCTGTTTATGTTGTCTCCTCCCAAGAATGCTTGTGTGTCTGTGGGTTTAGTGCAGCAGAGTGTTTGGGTGTATTTCATATATATTTATCTCTTGGTTAGGATGGTTTGTGTTTTGCCTGCACTAGTGCTATAAACAACTGCACCAGGAGTTTCGGCCTCTATGGAGTGTGCTAGCCGACCTCTATACTATGCTGCCTGTGGCCTGTTTCTTCTGCCTTCCTCAAGGAGATATAACGTTACTTTGTGTGGCTGTTTTACCAGCACATAAAACACCGGAGAAATGATGTAACTTAGTAAATAGTAGCTACTTCCTGCACAATGGTGTAACTAGCAGGTTAAGGTGTCGCCTTTAGGATGGCTTGTTGAATACATTTTGAACAGACCTAGCTATGAGAAGACATTGTACAGCTGATAGGGAAGGAGGAAATGTACCTGGGTCTAGTTTCAAAACATTTGGGTCAGGCAGCTGTTATGGACACCCTAGATTTCAGGAAGAAAAGAAGCCTGAATTTAGGACATACACATAAATGCCCATGATGCTGCTAAGGTATACAAAGGTTTTAACCGTTGTTCGTTACCTTGTTGCATAATGTAGCACAATGCTCAGTTAGTGCTCAGTGAAGTGGGAGACCACGGCTTCTCAGGGACCAAGTCTTGAACACTGAGGGCTGATTTGTGCAGCAGGAAGGGCTGCTCCAACAAGTCTCGTCTTTATGCTTGCCAGTGACTGATGTTCCTTACTCAGGGAGCAAATTGAGTTTGCATGCCTTGGTGACTCATTAACGTGTCCTTTGCAGCACTTCACCAATGCCCCTGAGCATTTCAACATTTTCATATTTAATATTTTTATGTCAAGGAATTGATTTTGTATTATATTATTGGCTAGCTTTTTTTTCCTCGGCTGGTTTGAACTGTTCTGAGCATGTCAGAGTTCTCATTGGTATTTCCATTACATGCATACTGTAATTATTCATAGTTCATTGACGCAGACCTTTGAAATGCCAATTTATGTCTTTGCATTTATCGGAGAAATAGTTATTAAAAATATACAGTTGTAACACAAATAATATGTTTATGTAATTGAAAATAGCTCATAACATTACATTAAGCGAACTGACTTGCTACTCAAATGTCATTTTAACTGTAATGAGGAACTGGGCTTTGCAAAACTTTCAACTGTACATTTTCTGACTTCTGCACAATGCTTCTGAGCAGAACTCTCTGTCATGTGTGCTCACATTATTTAAAAAAAAAAAGGCAGCAAGAGCCACAGAGAGTGAGTTGAAAGATGGTGCGAGAGAATAATGAGTTGTTTGTGACGTATGTGCATGTTTTGTTTGACAATAGACCTTTTTGTCTCATTTTACACATCAAAGAAACAACAGTCTCCTGCACACTAGTGTAGCGTACAGTATGTGCAGTAGTCATAAGACATGTCTACTGCTGCTGCTGGTAGATAATCAAAGCACAGCAACAATGTAAAGATAATCTATGTACTGCACAGCTTTGATGGAGTTGTGCTTTTTTAAATGGTGAGTTTGTTTTATCTGAGCATGTTGTGAAAATGAAATTGAATCTGTATTTATTGTAGAGTTAACATGTTAGGCTATTTACGTATTACATTACAAACTCAGCAGCTGTACATTTGCAATTTACTGAACCATTAACTATGATCAAAAGGGAATAATATTCTGGCTTTATATTTATTTTTTATTTTTTATTTGTTCTCCGCTTTTATTCTGAAGTCACAAAATATTAGCGTTTCACTATGAGTTCTGTTCACAGACTGTACACTGGATGCTCAGGATGTAATTCTTGAATGAATTGTAGAGAAGAAGATAGGTTAGACACAACAAAGATTGAGAGATTCAGTACTCTGTACATAATCTTGAGCTTCAGGGCTTCAGGAGGCTGCACAGAAAATTTGGTAGTATTCCTAAATTGTCAGAAGCAACACAACAATATGCCAGCCTTCACAGCTCAGTTTCTGCCGCAACATTTTTAAGTCGAGACGTGAGAATGGGAGTCATCACAGTAAGATCCCGTTAATCTCACACTAACCAGTGGGTGTTAGAAACATTCTCACTACTTTGTCAAACTCCTAAACATCATTAGTAACAATTAAAACTGTTTGTTTTGAATAGAATATCTCTCCAAGTGTGTGACCTGCAGTATTTCTGGACAGATTTATGCAGAATCTAATATTCTATTGATAGTAGAAGAAGAATCTCATAACTAACAACACCCAAGCAAGCGGTGTGTGTGCAACCAATGAGACAAGGTTGATCCAATAATTTGATGGTCCAGCAACTTTACTTTTACATAGCTGGTTAGTCACGGATTGAAAGTAGGTTTCATTATTTTTTAATCGTTTTATTTCCTAAGTTTGTAAATGACAATGCTGAGCTACTCAGATACTCACTTGCTCAGTTTTATATCATTAAAGGTAAGATATTTGTGGGGTTTACTGTTATTTGCTCTAAATAAGCAAGAAGAATTTTATGATGGACATGATTTGTTTCTTTCCTTTTTAGTTTTTTATATCTATGTATTTTTTGTTTCTTGACATACAGTTGCACCCCCTTTCTTCCTATTCCTATTTGTGTATTTTTGTGCCCATGCTCACAGGTCACATCTTCTTCTTGTCTCCCCCAGGATACCAGAGGGTCAGGCAGAAGCTGGGTCTTTGGCAGCAGGGAGGCTGCGCTCCCTGGAGGACCAGCTAACCAAAGCCAAACAGAAGATCCACAGCTTCCAGAAACTCACTGGAGATGGTAAGCAGGGCAGGGCTACGTAAAAGATTGCACTGACGGATTTGGCACAGACTTTAGAAATATGAAAGAATTGATTTTAAAAGTGCGTAGGTTGACTACATAAGGAGAAAAAAAAAACTAGTCAGCAGCTTTGGCCTTTGGCGAAACTCTCAGTCTCGTCTATTGTTAAAGCTGCTGCAGCTCAGCAGTGGTGGTGGCAGAGGCGTATCGTTGGATGGGCAGGGCTATGTGTGTATTGGCCACTCCAAGCAGTGGTCAGAGAGGCAGGAAAGCTGTCAGGTGAGCAGGAAAATGTGTGAATGAAGTGGAAGCAGTGTGAATGCCCCATTGGCAGAATGGGAGAGTGAGAGGAGAGAAAATAGACAGAGAGAAAATATAAAGGACATGTGAACGTGGAGGGCAGCACAGGGTCAGCCTTTCCATCTTGCCGCAGAGGAAGAAAAAGCTAAAAATACCCTCCAGCTTTTTTCCAAGGGAGAGAGTAAAGAGAGAGAGCAAGATAGGAAGGCAGAAAAGAGCTTTTCCCTCACCACCACCACCACCTCCTTCTCCTCCTCCTCCTTGAGGCTGTCCTTCCCTTCCCTCAATTTTTTCAGTTTTTCTCCATAGAAACCTGAGCAGGCAGCTGTGTTATCCATGTGGGTTACTTCACATTGTTTCGCTCGGTTGGGGTATAGAGTTCCATTCTGTGTGACAAAAACATGAGAGAGAGCCATGATTCACAAAAACAGTGATCAGGTGTTACTTAATGAGGTCAAAGCAACACCCAGGGACAGAGTATGAAAGACGAATATTTTAATCCCAATGTTCCAAAAGCTTGCTTTGTGCTACTAGGTTATTTACACTCACGTGATCTAATACTGAAACATTCTTGAAGACCTCCTGACATTCTTTCATACCTTGTTTCTTTTAGCTGAATTTGCACAGACGGGTTTTGAATCTACCATCATTGATTCGTTGTTTTAAATCATATGTGTGCCTCAGATGTCATGCTAGCATAGTGTTTTTGGTTTGTTGTGAGCCTTTAGGAGGTTTGTGCTGATCTCTCTTCCCCTCTCCCCTGCAGGCCCTGGGCCCACTCAGGAGGAGATGCGGAGGAGAGTTGAGAATGGCGTAAAGGAGTTCTGGTACTTTGTTCGCAGTGAAGTGAAGAAATTGGCCAATGTTGAGCCCAGCGAAAGGCAGAAGTATGCTGACACACTCCTGCAGGACCTGGGACACCAGGAGAGGTGGGCATCGTGTGTGTGTGTATGTGTGTCTGTGTATCTGTCGTCAAGCTTTCTCTCTTTGGAGACACTCATGGATCTGACTGCTGTCTGATGCGGTAGGTTGGTTATAGATTATGAGGAATTAATCCTAAACAGCTGGAAACTAAACTCCTGTTCTGTGTGTGGCAGCTCACCTGTCTGACATGTAGGTCTACACAGTGTGGCCTGCTGTTAGATCCTCATCCAGACTGATCTGCTCTCAGCAATAATTTATAATTATGAAAATTTCATTAATTACCAGCAACGTTGTTCTGTGTGCAAACACGCATCACACTCTTTAGAAACACTCATATGGATGGCTGATGCTCCAGGTATTAAACAAACTCAGATCCAGTAGTTTCATATAGCTGGAAGAAACAAACTTTAGCTCCTCATAACATGTGTGGAAAAAAAATTGGATTACATTCATCATTGGTATCATTATTCTTTCAGCTATTTGTGTCTGTTTTCATTGCAGTAGGTTTTACTGTCATGGACATTTTATTTTGGTGTCAAATGGGTTTGAAATTGAATAGTGAAGTGCATGAAAAAGGTATGTTGTGAGTTTTTTTCCCACAAACTGTGTATTGAACATCTTTGTGATGTTTTGAGAGGAATATTGGTGCTGAAATGTGAAAAAATTGTTTACTAGACGATGTCACTCACTCAAACTACCATAGCTTATGCGTATCTGTCTAGTAATGCATAGGCTCAGTTCAGTTCAGTTCAGGCTCAGTGTGCTGTGTTGAAAGTTGTATAGAAATGGTCCTAGATCCGTCAAGTTGCCATTAGATTAATGGAACAGAGCGCCAATGTGAAAGGGGTTGTAGATTGATACAACTGACACAGAATAAATCACTTTAAAAAATTTTGCTAATTGAAAAATCATTTGAATAACTTTTAAAGCAAAGAACTCAAAGTGTGTGGTTTGAAAATCATTGTTGTGTCATCTTTGAGACTAAAAAATTTTTAAGCAAATATTGAAACGACACATTCAGTTGGTTCATGATAATGAATAAAGGAACAACAGAGGATCGACTATTGATGTTAGCTGTGCCACTGGATTTCTGTGTTATGTGAAATAGCTCACATTCCTGGTAGTACTAGAACTTGAAAACAGCACTTGCAGTATTTGCTAGGTAATAAAAGGCAAAGGTCGCAGACACACCCACTGTGTCATCTGGAAGGCAGCGTTCCACACAGTTGAATGAAGAAGAGCCCGGTGTCACTTTGCCAAGTGGTTCCACTTTGACCCTGCTGAAGTGGCTTATAGGACCTATTGTCTTAGTCATTCCTGTCTAAGTAGCTTCCACAGACTGATTCCACACCCCGTAGACAGAATGTATACATACAAACATAGTCACAGATTTTCACATTCGTCTGCCCTCTCTTCAGATTCCTTTGCATGTGCTGCTTGTAAAGGTTGAGCTAGCTAGTATAGATAGAAGCAGAGGTGGCAAAAGCAATGACATTTTTGACTTGAATGAATGCATCACTTTTGAAATTCTGCTCAAGAAGCATTGTCAGGTCCTTGTCTTAAAGATTTTTCAAGTCAAATAAAAATGTTGCACACTATAAGTGCTCCCTCTGAAAACAATCACTGCATTATGAAGAGCTTTCTGTTTCATCAAGTCTTATTGGTAACTAAAATAAAGTGTAAGTTCATGGAGATCTGCCAGAAAACAACGATTCAAAGTTCAAATACCCACAGCAGGCAGTAAAGCAGATAAAGCCTGTACATGTACAAAGGAATGTGTCACAGTAGTAGTGATAGTGTACAGCACTGATGCAACAATCCATAGATCTAGTGGATCTTGACGTTTACCCTCAGTGCAAACTAAACCTTAAAGTAAAATAATCAAGTTGACTTTCAAAATTAAAAATTACTTTAAGTGCTCACAATAAAAGTTAAAATTTTAAACATCTATGCAAGCGTCATCTGTAGATAATGATCTTTTGGTGTGAACAAAAGCTCCAGGAAAGAAGTGATTGCTTTTTCAACTTCCATAATTGTCTTGATCTGACATCGATTTTGGAAAGAATAAAATATTGAATTTTAGGCACAAAGCATCCAGTAATTCTTTTGATTAGTGTTGAAATAATTACTATATGTTTGAGAGATTGAGCAATTTGTAAGTTGTATTACACAGTATGTGCTGCAAACATAAGCAATGTGTTGCATGGACTTAGGAAATAACGTCCTGCAACTGAGATTGAAATAGATAAATATAACAGAGAAGTTTAGCACATATTGAGAAGAAGAACCAACGCTATACTGAACATAATATAATTGTCAAACTATCATATGTAACCCCAGAATGCATTGTGCAACAGGATGGGCAGGACAATATGGAAGGTGTTGTTGTGTCATGAACACAGAAAGGCATGACGACAAGGCTCGGTTTCAACAGCACTTAACAAATGTCTCATGTTATGTCATAGAATGGTGCCCTGTAAGGCTGTGGGACAATGTCCATCTTTTGTCCCAACTGACCTTGTGAAATTGATGCTGTAATCTGAACCGGAAACCTTGTATCTGCTCTCCTGTTAGTGCAGTATCAGTATGGAGAAAAGCTGCACAGCTGCAGCCTGAACATCTGCAGTTTGAGACAATGAGAGGCTATGGGGAAGCACCCAAGCTTCACTTATGTTAAAGACCACACACACACAAACACACTCATGTCTGTGTAGTATTCCTGTCCTGCCACCATATCAATACGTTTTTCGACCAGCCTGGTTTATGTTTCTGTGGTTGTTCCCTGTGTGCCCTTGGAGGGGAGACATCCATACACACACTGTGATTCCCGCTTCAAAATGGGGCAATAAGTAATAACACTGTTTTAGTTAGCTCATAACAGCACTGTTCACTGTGTCACACTGTTGAAATGGGACATGTTACGTTCATCTGCTTTGTGTGTGTGTCTTGGCATGTGCTACTGAATATATGTTTAAGCACTCTGTTATACAAGATGTGACTGATTCGGGTCAAAGACGTGAGTAATAAATAAAATGTGTGTGTGTGTGTGTGTGTGTGTGCGTGCGTGCGCGCGCGTGTGTGCGTGTGCATACGCAGCAGATGGAGACAAAGAATACAAGAACAATGTGACAGAATGTTAAGCCTCAATATTGCTAGGGCTGGGTGAGAGTCTTTCAATAAAATGTGTTATTTCAGTCGATATAATTAATAATAATTGGTCATTTTTAAATGATCTATTTCTATTGAAAGCCAGGAGAAAAAATAAAGGAGTGATCTCACTTTTATACATCTAAAATAAAGAAATAAAGAAAGCAAGTAAAACCCAGAGGTGCTCAGAGTGTGACCAGAGTGAAGGTGCTGCCCCGTGGGGAGGTTAAGGGTCAGAGTGACTGACCATAGGGACCTGTATGGCAGCCGCAGGAGAACGACGGAGGGCAAAGGGGCTCCATTATCAAGGTATGACAAGCTGTTATTATCCAGAGATGAAACACTCTCTGGAGTTTGTTCATGGAGCTTAACTTTGCGTCTTTGCTATGTTTCTTTTTGCTGATTTGCATCTAATGCATTTAACTGAATTTGACTGAAGTGAAAGTTAGTTTTTTAAAATAACTTTCAAGTGGGGCTGCAAGGTGGTGCAGTTGGTAGCACTGTTGCCTCGAAGCAAGAAGGTCGTCGGTTCGCGTCCCGGTGGAGGCACCGAGATCTTTCTGCGTGGAGTTTGCATGTTCTCCCCGTGCAGCGTGGGTTCTCTCCGGGTTCTCCGGCTTCCTCCCACACAGTCCAGAAACATGTTGAGGTTAATTGGTGATTCTAAATTGTCCATAGGTGTGAATGTGAGTGTGCTTGGTTGTCTGTCTCTACGTGTAGCCCTGTGATAGACTGCCCAGGGTGTCCCCTGCCTTCATGATAGGCTCCAGCTCCGCGACCCCAGTGAGGATTAAGCGGTGTATAGCTAATGGATGGATGAAACTTTCAAGTGTTGTGGACACATTTCGCTACTGATTTAGGCCTAAGTCACTGGTGTAATGATGGACCAGTATCAAAGCATAAAAATACATTTTCAGTCCATATCCACATTGCCCACTGCTAGGTGAATATGAAAGAGTCAGATGTGCATTTGCCTCTCTTCACATAGAACAAATGAACTAAAAATCAGTCTTTCTCTGATTTCTAGCAGAGTTCATTTTTACCAATAACATAGGTGTGGGTGACTGCCATGAAAGAACATAACAGCAACACAAAGTTTGGTTGCCTAAATAGACTCCAAGCTTCTTTATCCCCGGACCTTGAGCAGCCAGTCATGGCCCCGTTGCCCTATGTCTCTCTATGACCCGGCACCAGTGGCCTGACTTGCAAAACAGACTTTGGAGTCTAAAACCACCCACAACACCCACCACGTCACCAAAGTAACACTCTCCGTCCCGCAATACCGAGTCCTGGCCAGCTACTCAGAACCGTAACCTCAGTGCATTGCAGCAGCCTTGACCTGGTCACCTGTTCATGCGCATTTGGGTTTTACTTGTTTTCTGTATTTATTTTTTGTTTTGTTTTCTTTTATTATTGTGTATCAAGGTGAAATCCATCCTTTTTTCTTATTTACTTTAATTTGTGTGTATTTTTCATTGTTGAAAAAGCATTGAAATTATCACTGGTGTACTTTGATAAATAGGCTAAAGTGGTTAAATTCAAAGGTGGCTAAAATAAAATTGTGAATACAATGAAATTGAGACAGCAGTGTTTTATTTGTACGAGGACAGTTAACCTGTTACTGGATTCTTGTTGCACATTGTGAATGACTGCTGAGGGAATTAGGCACTTTACACAGCAAAGCATAACTGACATATTAAGAATACAAGGTCATATGTTTTATGTTTTATTGTTCTTGAGAATGTACACACATTACTACACTCTGTACCTAAGGTTAATGCAAAGGTCACTCGGTACTTCAAAGACGTACTCATGTTATTTGAATGTAAACCTTGGATGTCTGGCAATCAAGGCAATACTCATAGATTGGGCAAGGGCTCATTTACAGATAACACTGATCCAAAGAAAAGTATTGATAAGGTGCTGCTGTTTGTCTGTCGATAACTGCAATGGCCACTTCTGGAAAAGGTGTTTTTTTCCTACAAACATAGCAATGCATACATGTGCCCAACAGACTTGTGTGTAATTCAGTGTTTATTTAAATGTGACTATAAATAATAATAATAATAATAATAATAAAATTGTGAACTTTATGTCCATTTGTCTGTAGGTCTATCATGACAGACCTGTACTACCTCAGCCAGGCCGACGGAGTCGGTGAATGGAGAATGAAGGAGGCTAAAGACCTGTCAGATCTGGTCCAGAACAGAATCACCTACCTACAGGTATCTACCGACACAACTGCTACTTAGCCAACTAGCCTGTACTCTCTAATACACAGCCACATTCACACCCACATGGAGACACAGCTACATTGTGAGTGTTCGTGCAAACGTATCCCTTACACAGATAAACGCACATATGCGTGTTTGAGGACATCTTTCACACTTGCTTGTGTCATTTACACCATCCATAACTGTCAGCATCAGTTTCCACGAGTAGCAGGTGAAGGGTGTAATAGCAGATGGTTTTAGCAGTCGGAACTGACAAGCAGAATTCTTGTTGTTTGTCAGCAGTTTAGTATCACACACGCACACACACACGCGGCAAAACTCATAGAAGCACGCACAGGGACACAAAATGACAGATGGGCAGACACACATATGCAGAAATGGCAAAATGTCTATTCAGTACA